AGTTTAGTCCTGGTTTAGACCTGTTGTAGTCCTGGCTTAGTCCTGGTTTAGTCTTAGTTTAGGCCTGGTATAGTCCTGGTTTAGTTCTAGTTTAGTCCTGGTTTACTTCTGGTTTAGTCCCGGTTTAGTCCTGGCTTAGTCTTAATTTAGTCCTTTTTTAGTCCTGGTTTAGACCTGATATAGTCCTGATTTAGGCCTGATGTAGACCTGGTTTAGTCCTGGTTTAGTCCCAGTTTAGGCTTGGTATAGTCCTGGTTTAGTCTTAGTTTAGTCTTGATTTAGTCCTGGTTTAGTCCCAGTTTAGGCCTGGTATAGTCCTGGTTTAGTTCTGGTTTAGTCTTAGTTTAGTCCTGTTTTAGTTTAGTCCTAGTTTAGTTCTGGTTTAGACCTGATGTAGTCCTGTTTTAGTCCCGGTTTAGTAATGTTTTAGTCCTATTTTAGTCCTGGTTTAGTCCCGTTTTAGTCCCGTTTTAGTCCTGGTTTAGTCCTGATATAGTCCTGGTTTAGTCTTAGTTTAGTCCTGGTTCAGTCCTGTTTTAGTCTTAGTTTAGTCCTGGTTCAGTCCCGGTTTAGTCTTAGTTTAGTCTTGGTTTACTCTTAACTTAGCCCTGTTTTAGTCCTGATTTAGACTGTGAGCGGGGTCGCCTCTCCACAGATCCGACCTGTGACCCCGTCAGGTCTCCATAAACACGGAAACCTTTAAAGCCGGACTGTGGAACATTCTAGACAAAAACAACAACGCCTCCATGAAGCAAAACATTTGATTTAACGAATCTTCCACTGGAAAAGTTACACAATCAATCAATCCTTTGCACTCGAATTATTCACCGCGATGCACTTTTCACAACTTTCTTTTTAAAGTGAACAACATCTAGCATGCTAAGACGCACTTCCTGATCATTGGAAATCAGTAAAACGCTTTAGAATTCGATCTGTTTTGACGGAAACACGCGGGAAAAATCAGGTACGGGGCCTTTGTGCGACCGGGGAAATAGTGCATATTATATACAGTCTGTTTTGTGTCAGTCGTAGAAATTTCACGTCAAATTATCAAATAAAAGTTCGTCAAGTTTTTATGTAATTTAACGGGAAACAAAAGATTAAAAAACAGAAATCTCACTTGTGACCGTAGACCTGATATTAGTTACAGAAGCTTTAAGCCTGAGTTTAACACGAGCAGTTCCAGAATTTGTCGTCGTGGTGATTTCAGGCGAAGCGCAGGAGCCTGTCGATACTTCGCTGTCGATGTCGGGCGTGACGCTAACCGAGGGCACTGCTCCGTCTGCGATTCAAATCAGTCTGAGTTTTGTTTTCACACGGTTTTGACCAGAATCGTGTTAAGTCGGCCGGGTCTGGTCGGGACTTGGATGGGAGACCGTTGGGAAAATCAGGAGCCACAGGAGGGCGCCACTCGCAAAAACCGTCATCGTGTCGTTTGGTGTGTGTAAAGCGTCTTTGAGTGTCCAGAAAAGTGCAATATTAAACTGATGTAGGCCTATTTTTTGTGTGCGTTTTCAGAAAATCTTAAACGTTTTTTGACAGTTTTTGCTAATTTACATTTTTTTTTTCTTTTCCACCTTGAAGACACTCAAAGAACCACCCAGACATTCACACACCAGTGCACACAGACCCTGAGGGTGCGGTGGGTTAAGGGCCCGGTCAAGTAGAAGTAAACAACAAGGCCAAAAATTCAAGTTAATTCATCTGATATAAAAATGTATTGAACAGATACATATGTACTCTAGTTTATGAAACTGTTGACCTTTTTTCTGGACCATTTTTTGGTTCTAAAGTTCCATATGTTTTTAAACAGACCATGTATGAAACATGGAACAAAAATTATTTCCCAAATTTCAAAGACCCAAAAATCATGTAAATAAATGGATGTATTTCATCATATCTTGTGTTATTCCATCTTTGAACTGTTGATGAAGGGACAGGATTTAAAAAATATATTTAAAATGATAAAAATTTGCTTGGAAGGACTGACATATTTTATAGAAAAGCTGACAAATGATGTAAAATCCTGCACCTTCTACTTGTTTGAACAATTTTCCCTCCGTTACTTTTCCCTCCGTTACCATGACCTTTCTTAATAAAAAATCTCATGAGTCAAAAAGTAAGAGGTTTTTCAACCTAATCTTGTACCATATGGTAGAAAACTATATGAAGCAAATATTCAAACCAGTTTGTTAAGGATATGTAAGTGAGAACCAAGAGTTATCACTGTTTGGATTTATTGACCAAAAAGTGCTGCATATTTCATTCCCTCCGTTACCAACATGAGTTTTTTAATTTTTTTGTCAACAACTTGAAAGAATCTCACAGGTTTAACTTGACCCTGTTGGAGTGTAACTCTTTCCTACATTCTGATACTTTACTTATTTCAATAGTTCCTCTAGTTTCTGAATAAGAGACATTTGAATGTCAAAAATCTGCCCCTGTTTCCCTCCGTTACCACTTGACCGAACCCTTAAGTGTCTTGCCCAAGGACATGATAACAGCATTCATCTGTGGGAGCTGGAATCACACCATCAACCTGTGGGTCTGTGGATCTGACGCTCAACCAACGATGTGTCCAGCTCAAGTTACACTACAAAAATTCTAAAACTTTGAGTCACGTTTTTGTCCTTTTTGTGTTAATTTTTCTTTAGAACTTTTAGAACTCGCTTCTTCAGGTTTAGTCTCGTTTTAGCTCATGTTTAATCCGACGTTAGACCTGACATAGTCCGGGTTTAGATCTGGTTCTACTCAGGAAAGCCAAGTATTTTCTTAAGGCATAAAAAGTTTGAGAACAACTGAACCATTGATACTACTAAGCTAACTGAAGGCACTGCTCCGTCTGAAGCTCTGTTCCTCAACTTTCGAGCTTTTTTTCAACACAATCTCACCATAAAAGAACAGATTTAGCTTGAAGTACAACATGTGAGCTGTCGTTGCATTTATAGTATTATTTTCTTGCTTTACGCTCAGTTTCAGGCACTGTTTTTGGTATTTCAGCTTAAAAAAAGACAATATATTGGCTTTTCTACGTAACAAATTCGTCAAAAATAGGGACAATCCTCGTATGAAACTGGGACAAATCAGCGGTTTTGGATAAATCCGCTGGGACAGAGGACACCGGGCTCGAAACTGGGACTGTCCCGGGTAAATAGGGACCACGAACGCTCGTATTCTAACAAAAAAACGTGATGTCAGGTCAGTGCAAAGTATCAGCAGGCCCCTGAAAGTGCACAGAAGAGTGCACACGGTCCAGTCGTATGGTCCAGTCTCCAACCTGAGAGTCGAACTTTTCCGCTGAGTTAAACGGCGCAGGTCCGGACGGTGTGGCGCGGGTTCGGTTCAGAGTTACATTAAAGCGCACATGACAGGTTTACATGTTTTTATAATTCAGACTTGGTTTTATTATTGTTTTTTTATCAGTTAAAGAGTTACGTGATTTTCTGATCTACAGTTTGTCCTAATGTTGTTTCCTCATCAACATAAACACACTGGATTAAAACAATATCTAGGTCAGTTAAAACGACTTAAATTAAGAACATTTTACTTTATTTGAGTCGATTCAACTTGACAAGTCAAATTATCGATCGATGGAATAAGTGTGTTTGTCTAAATTTAAGCAGCATTAGATTTTGTTTCTAATTTTAAGTGCAAAAAGTTGTTGTAATTCGTTTTTTAATTTTGGTTTTTAGAGAGAAATAATGAAGGAAATAGTTTTTTTCCATTTTTCCATCCATTTTCTTTCGTTTATCCAGGGCCGGGTCGTGGGGGCATCAGTCTAAGCAGGGACTCCCAGACTTCCTTCACCCTAGACACTTCCTACAGCTCCTCTGCAAGGACCCTGACGCGTTCCCAGTCCAGACCAGAGTCATAGTCCCTCCAACGTGTCCTGGGTCTTCCCTGAAGTGTCCTTCTAGTGGGACATGCCCGGAACACTTGTGGAGGACTTTTCTCGATGTGGAGGAGCAGCGGCTCTACACCGAGCTCCTCACCCTGTCTCTAAGGCTGCGTTCAGACTGCAGCCTGAAGTGACCCAAATCTGATTTTTTGGTCCCTATGTTCCTGTATCTGATCTTTTAATGACTGAACCACACAGATCCGATTTTTTCCAATGTGACCCAGGACACTTGGATATGTGCTCCTGAAACTGATACATATCTGATCTTTTGACATGCGACTTCAGTCTGAACGGCTAAAGCGCATTCATCCACCTACACGTTATCAACAAGACACAAACGTCACTATTCTGCACTGAAGTAGACGAAAATTGTTAATAAACTCCGTGTCACTGAAGTGAAGCACATCACCACTCACCACTCTTGGCTCCGTCTCCACATCCACACGTTCCTTTCAACGGACTGAACCACAAAACACCACGACCAAAAACCTCGTCCTTCTCCTTCTCAATCTCCTCCTTAAAACAAGTAAGTTGTTCATGTTCTGGCTCCGGTACGAGAGGAACTTTAAAATCTCCAGGTGCTCGATGCTGCGTCCATGTTTGGACAACTTCTGTAAACACAGAGACGCTCGCTGCGGTTGACGTCGTCGTGTCTCCAGTCACATGCGGGACACTTTCGGGCCGTTTAATGTTCACACTGGAGTCACATACAAGTCACATTTAATTGGAAATGTGAACGACCTCGCAAAAACATCGGATTTCACAAAAAATCAGAATTGAGCGTTAAGCCCTGCAGTCTGAACGTAGCCTAAGGCAGCGCCCAACCATCCTGCGAAGGAAACTCATTTCGGCCGCTCGTATCCGCGATCTGGTCCTTTCAGTCATTACCCAGAGCTCATGACCAGAGGTGAGGGGAGGAACGAAGACTGACGGTAAATCGAGAGCTTCACCTTTTGACTCAACTCCCTCTTCACCACAACGGTCCGATACAGCGACCGCATCACTGCCGACGCCGCACCGATCCACCTGTCAATCTCACGCTGCGTCCTCCCCTCACTCGAGAACAAGACCCTGAGTTACTTTCCTTCACCAGAGATTTTACAAGTCGAGAACCAAGGAAGAACTGATCCTCATCCCAGCCGTAGTTGTTTTTTCGCTTTCTTATTTTTGATTTTATTTTGAAAAACGAATGAACGAACGATACAGGGATTACGCTGGCTTTAATCTTTACATATTTACAATTTAAATGTTCATTAATATGTGCTGTCCCTTTACAAATACATAAATAAAAAAAAAAAAAAGCTTATACTGCAGGTTTCCGAAATGTTTGAATGAAACAAAACGCAGCTCCAGGTTTGTTTTTGAGGAGGTAACAACATTCTAACACATCTTAAAGCTCATGAGAATCACTTTTTGACCTTTAAACGGCAATTTGTGAAGAATAAGTACACGTAGTAGCATCGAAATCTAAAATGCCTCCACTTCTGTTCAACGCGGGACATTCCCTCAAAACGCAGGAACAATGTATGTGTCAGGAAGGCTTTTGTCTGCCAGTATAAACCTTTATTTAATCAAAATAAAGATGCCGTCATTTATTTTCATTAGACTAATCATAGCTATTGTGTAATTCGAGTTTTGGCTTTTGTTTACACTCGGGTTGCTAGGTAGAAGTTATTGAATTACCTTTACTTATGCCTTATCTGCGGTAAGAAGTAAAAGGGTGAAATCTTGAAAACAAAAGGCGGTGTTTTTTAAAATGCTGTCATGTGCGCTTTAACGTAAACGCCCGTGCCACACAGAGGCGTTTTGAGTCTTTTTAGTCGAGCAGGATTTGGCGTAGAGCGTTTTAAGTGCTGTTTCCAGGGGGTGAAGTGCGTTGCTCCTGGGGTTCTTGGGGGGGGGTTGGGGTCCTGGAGGTTCTTGGGGTGGTTCTTGGGGCGGAGATGAGCGAAGTTTTGGGGAGGGTCGGCCGGGGGGGGCGGGGTCAGTCGGAGGTGAAGCCTTGCCCCTCCCTCTGCCGCGCGGTCACCGGACAGTCTTTGTGCGTGAGGAGGATCTGCTTCAGCTGACCGACCTCTGACCTCAGTGACGTCACCTCGTTCTGAAACGGGAACCGACAAGAACATCACGAACAACATTCGCTCTTCATTCCGCTAACGATAATATTTGGTTTTGTTTATCTGTGTCATATTTTTGCTGATTAAAGTCGACTTTTTCTGACCCGTTCAAACCTAAATAACTTTGCAGAGCTTTTCATTTACAGTGATTCGTGCATGTTTCAGCGTCTTTAACGGTGTAGGAAGGAACTCGAAGGAAGTGGGGACCAGTGACACGTGGGGAGAGGTCCTTCTAGGGCAGGGGTGTCCAAACTTTTTTCATCAAGGGCCACATTTCTAAACACAGATGAAGCAGAGGGCCGATCGAGGGCCGTAGACTGGTGCTCAATACAGTGAAGAATTGAAATATGTGTATGTTTAACATGTTAGAATGTGCCCGTCAGTCTTTATTCAGGCTAAGATCCTTAAAACCACACACTAAAAATTAAATATCAGCTTTATCAAGGTAAATTTTCAGAAACTTGCAGCAAAAAGTTAATTTTTTGTTGATGCAAGGTCATTTGGTCCAGTTCACCTGGAAGCCTGAGGGCCAAGAAAAATTTGTCTGAGGGCCACATTTGGCCCACGGGCCGTAGTTTGAACATGCCTGTTCTAGGGGATCCTCTTGTACCGAGCACTCGTCCCTCGCCCGCCGAGTTGAATCCCTCGGGCAGAGCGCGCAGACCCACACGTTTACCTCTTAATGGTTTCACATTTGAACTCTCACTTCAAAGTTCTTTTTAACTTTTCCTTATGGTTCCCAGTTTCTCCGCCACTGCTCTGTACTTACTTCGTTCTCTTTTTGGAAAACACAAAAAAATTAGTGGGTCCTGGGTGGGGTTGGCCTTCCTTTAACTGGTTTTGCCTTGATTTTATTCCTTATTTTTTATAGTATAGTATTCTATGAATTAATTTTTTTTAATTGTTAATTTTTGTTTGCTATTGCTATTTCTTCTTCTTCTTATTATTATTATTATTATTACTACAAAGTTTGAGATTCACTGAACTATTGACACTTCGCAGCTGATATCAGCAACATTCCAAGAGGGTGAATCTAACTCAAGGCCCTGCAGCTCAAGTGAGTTACTCAAGTTAGACTCATCTGAGTTTTATTCTAGCACAATCCAAACACAATATACAGAACATAAAGAGGATTTATCTGAAAGTACAAGAGGAGAGTGTCATGTCATGTCAGTATTATGACCTGTAGCTGCAGGTTGGTGTGGGTGAGCTCCTCGGCTTTCTTCTCCAGAGAGGACACCCACAGTTTCCTCTTCTGTCGACAGCGTGTGGCCGCCGCTCTGTTCCTCTCCAGAAACTTCTGCCGGCGCTCGTCCGGGTCCTGCTCCGAGGTCCTCCTGCGCCGGACCACCGCCCCGGGGGGACCAGAGGGGCCCGCACACCCCCCGGGGGCCCCCTGAGAGAGAGAGAGCTGGCACTGGGGCGGCTGGGACTGGACGGGGGACAACTGGACATAGAGAAACACAAAAGTGAGGACATACACGGACACAGACACACTGTGGATGTTACTTTTGCTTTTGTGCTTTTCTCCTTCTTCACTTTTTATTCCATGTTTTTGTTTTCCATGAGCAAAATTTCAATTGGGACCAAATGTTTGTGATCAGAGACACGTGGCTGTAATCAGGGCAGCTCTGGGTGATGTCACCAACTACTGGAAATTACAGCACAAACTTAGATTTAGGCGTTTTTGATCAGAAAGCTGCAAACTGACCCAGTTTTTACTAAAGTTGTCAAACAATGACTAAGAAGAGGAGATAATGCAATTAAAAGCCCATATAGTGAGTTAGTTTATTTTTGTTCGGTCAGTTCACATAATCATGAATCATATTACAATGATTTAACTCAGAAATTATGCATAACACTAAAATTATTCTACAGACCGAAGGCTTCAGGCTGAAGTTTTAACAATTATTTTGCCTGTTTACATAAAGAACAGGACACAAGACACAGAACTATTTACAAAAAAACAAAAAACCCAAAGCAAAACTCATCTTTTATGAGTGTAGGAAACAATACATACTTAATTCTTTTATACACACACACACACACACACACACACACACACACACACACACACACACACACACACACACACACACACACACACACACACACACACACACACACACACACACACACACACACACACTAGAGTCCTGCATGGGTCCATTTTTGCAGACCCACATCCACCCGCTCCCTCGCAGTTCAGTATTGCACCCGCCCGTTAACCCGTGAATATATCAAAGTTAAACCTGCACCCGCCCAGACTCGTTAACATTCCACCCGTTACTCACCCGTGCCCGAGATAAATCACACACACAGTAAAAGTATTTTAACTGAAGCATCCGTCAGAACACGAACTGAAAAGTTACGACTTCAAGAATTACGATCACGAAATTTCTTCAGTACGACACGAATTCACAGACGCGACTCGACTCTCATCACTTCACAGGATTTATCTACTGAACAGAAGAAACACTGATGCACCACAGCACGGACTGAACCAGGACTGAACCAGGACTGAACCAGGACTAACCCAGGACTAACCCAGGACTAACCCAGGACTAACCCAGGACTAACCCAGGACTGACCTTGGACTGATTACAGGACTGAACCAGGACTAACCCAGGACTAACCCAGGACTAACCTAGGACTGATTCCAGGCCTAAACCAGGAGTGAACTAGGACTAAAACAGGACTAAAACAGGACTAAACCAGGACTAACCTCGGACTGATTCCAGGACTAACCCAGGACTGATTCCAGGACTAACCTAGGACTAACCTAGGACTGATTCCAGAACTAGGACTGATTCCAGGACTAACCTAGGACTGATTCCAGGACTAACCCCAGGACTAACCTAGGACTGATTCCAGGACTAACCCCAGGACTAACCTAGGACTGATTCCAGGACTAACCTAGGACTGATTCCAGGACTAAACCAGGAGTGAACTAGGACTAAAACAGGACTAAAACAGGACTAAACCAGGACTAACCTAGGACTAACCCAGGACTAACCCAGGACTCACCTAGGACTGATTCCAGGACTAACCCAAGACTCACCTAGGACTGATTCCAGGACTAACCTAGAACTAACCTTGGACTGATTCCATAACTAAACTAGGACTGATTCCAGGACTAACCCCAGGACTAACCTAGGACTGATTCCAGGACTAAACCAGGAGTGAACAGGACTAAACCAGAACTGAACCAGGACTCACTGTCGGGACGGGCTTGGAGGTCCGCCCACGTAGACGTGGGGTGACCGCAGACAAAACCCCTACTCCACGGGCTCGGGGTTCTCTCTCTCTCTCTTAAGTCCAAGATTAGTCCTGGTGTAGTCCTGGTTTAGTCCTGGTTTAGTCCTGACCTGCCCGTGTAATTGCTACCCGCCCGTAAAATTCCAGAACGTTAAAACTAGGGGTGTGCAAAAATATCGGAATATCGATATATCGTATCGTTTAATGTGATGATACAGTATCGGATATCGTGGGCTGCCGTATCGATACATCACCAAGAGTATTTTTAGGTGTGTTTTACTAAATTATTTTGTTACAGCTACATTTTTGTTGCTTGTGGAGTGAAAGGAAACTCATTTATGCGACACATTTGACATTTTTTACTGTTTTTGATGATTAAAATGTTTGTGTTTCATATGAACTTTGCACAAGAAATGGTTTAACAAAGACTTTTAGTATCAGAGCCAAGATTTAGCCTTTATTTTTTATTGAACCGTATCGAATCGATTTGAAATATATCATATCGAATCGAAAGTGCACTGTATCGAGATATGTATCGTATCGTGGCCTGTGTATCGAGGTATGTATCGTATCGGCAACTTCTTAATGATACCAGCCCTAGTTAAAACCCCCCGTTTCAGAAACTATTTGCTTGTACCGGTCGGGTCCCTGCGGATACTCGACCTGGTGCAGGACTCTGATTCGGGCGCAGTGCGATGTCACAGACATAGAAAAATTACTCCGCAGATAAATATTGATGCGGCTCCACAGATTAGGACATTTATCTGTCTGTAAATCGGATTAAATTAAGATAATATAGACCAGGGGTGTCAAACTCATTTTGGTCCGGGGGTCGTATCCAATCCGACTTTGATCCCAAAGTGTCCGGATCAGAAAACTCATGTCATATAAACCCCAAAAATAACAATAAGTTCAAATATTTGTGCAGAGAAACACAAATCTATTACAGAAATCTTTTTTAATTGATGAACTCTTTCTTTTACAAAATATTATAATATTATGAACAACCTGAAACTTTAAGAAAAATTCAATTTTGACACAATGTTTTAACATGAACTTGTATGTAAATAGGAATAAGTCAATTTTTCTTGGAAAATCCTGCACTCGGCTCCACTTTTCTCATGTTAACATTTTTCTGATGAGGGTGTCACGGTCAACAGTCAAAACGATCGTCCTTTAAGAGCGTTTGGAAAGAGACAAGTCTTCATTTGTGCTGCTCTGGTGGGAGGGGCCACGTACAGAGACGCTGGAGACGCTGCTGTGATAAACACCACAGAAAATTAACAAGATTTTAATAGAAAATATAATTAAAATATTTTAGTAAAAATCACCCAAGGGCCACATTAAAGGTCTTGGGGGGCCGGATCTGGCCCCCGGGCCATATGTTTGACACCTGTGATATAGAGAGTCTAAGCTTTATAAACAGGTATAACCTGCCCACGTCAACTATCGGCACATATCGGAAAGATTTAAGCTGATAATCGATACGTCTCCAAGTGCCCATATCGACCAACCAATATAATCGGTCGGGCCCTAATGGAGACGCATCGATTTTTCAGACTAGTCCTCTCATGAGCTTTCTGAAAAAGGCCCGATTCAAAGTTTAGTAGGAAAATAAAAAAGTATTTTAGTGTTTAGTTTGACGTTCATATCCTCCTGTGCTCCTGTAGGGGGCGTACCTGAGCATTGGGCAGCGGCGCGGCGGGAGGCGAGCCCTGGTGCAGCCGGGGGGCGGGGACTGGTGGGACTGGTGGACCTGGGTGGGCGGGGCGTTCTGGTGGAGGTGGTGGGCGTGGCCGAGGTGCTGGGGGGCGGGATGTGGAAGCGCTGCTGGAAGCCCATCGGCGGGGGGGAAGAGCTGCGGGTGGTGCTGCAGGGGCGGGGCCTGTTGCCGCGGCGACATCATGTCCATCATGTGACCCATGGGGGGGCCGCTCTGTTCATGGACATCAGTCTGGGCTGCGGGGGCTGGGGGGGGTAGGGCGGGCCCAGCGGGTGCTTCAGTCTCTGCGGAAACACAATTACAAAAACACTTAAAGGTTGTATAGAGGATTTTTTAGGGAAAGAGAAATACAGCGACAGTCCTTTTTCAAATGTTGTGAATAGAAATAATTTAGCGACCGATGCATCAGTTTTTAGACACTTTGTCTGCTTCAGTCGCACAATTTCTGGAAGGAATCTCCAAGAATCACCTCAGTTTGGTTTTGCTCCTTTTCCCCTTCTCTTCTTCTTTTAGCGACCTCAAAAACGGACTTTCTTTTGCGGCGAACGGGTCGTGGATTCTTGTCGGCCATCACAACAAACTTTGTGCGAATTGCAAGGAAGTTATAGTTTTAAAAAGCCTCTAAGAATCGCTGCATAAACCACACAATCCCCTCACGCTGGCGAGTCAGTTACACTAGAAACGAAGGGAGTTTGATTGACAACCTAACAGCCAATAGAAAATGAGGCAGCCTCGTTATCTATTGGCTGATGTTTATCTGGCCTCACTACTTTCACAGTTGATAGATTTTCATTCTTTTTTTTTTTTTGGTCATCATAATTACAAGGCTGCTGCGTCTCTGTAATGGTATTTTAAACTTTCATTGACAATTTGAAACTTTAAAAAAATCCTCCATACAACCTTTAATGAACATACTGTGCATTTGTGTTGCTTTAACTCCTCTTTAAACATGATTTTAGCGTCGTTGCGTTGGCTTCCAGTTCGTTTTAGAGTTGATTTTAAGATTTTATTGTTTGTTTTTAAAGCTTTGAATGGACTGACCCCATGTTACGTCTCAGATTACGTTTACACTGAATTGAATTTCTGTGTCCGCAATCCTTCCCTATCCACACAGCTTTGAGCACATTTGTTTACATTTTACAGAAACAAAACTTAAAACCACATGACTCATTTGCATAAACTGAGGGCTCAAAAACCCCAGCTCTTTCCTTGTGCGCTGATGTGGTTCAGCTTCTGTCGGACTAAAGGACACGACTCAGTGGAATATGAGTGTTCTTTCTGTGACAGAGGGGTGTTCTGATGATGGTGAGTCTGTTCTGTGTTTATGTCGTGTTGAAGATGGTTCATGTGAAACTTTTCAGAGATTATACGTCTGCAGGTCAAACACACAGACACACGTTTATATCAGGGGTGGGCAAACTTTTTGACTCGTGGGCCATAAAAGGGTTCTAAAATTTGGCGGAAGGGCCGAACTAGGAGCAGATGGATGGAGTCTTTGGTAATCCACCTCATTAAATTATTATTATTATTACTATTTTTACTACTATAATTATTATTATTATTCGAGTTCAGCGGGCCAGATTAAAGGACCACGTATGGGTTGTAGTTTGCCCACCTCTGATATATATGAATGCCTCTTCGCGTTTTGGATTACTTCACAGCACATAGAACTACATCAGAGTATCAGCGTTTTCAGGCGTCCACACAAAACCGGAATAAACCGCCCACTTACTTCGGAATTAAGTTTAATTCTGAATAATCATTTTCATTAGGAATTAAGTGTTTATGGTTCTTTTTAAAGTGGAATTAATTTTTATTCACAATTAAAGCTCTCATGTACAGTCCCCGACAAATGTTCTGTCACTTGGTACAATTTGACCTTAAGTGCTCCTCAAATGTATGTCTAATCAATAATGAAATAATATTTTGGTGCCAAATGAAACTGCTGAGAAGTATTTTAACGTTCACAGGTTGCTAAAGCCGACTGAGTCTGTTTTCTTGTCGCGTTGTCATACGATGCACCCAGTCCTAGATTACAGCCTCAACTGTATCAATAAGTGATCAGTCAGTTAGTGAGTGTGAAGAAAAAGAACCTCAGTGCACCAAACCTTCACATCAACTGTAACTTCATCTCTGACAACATGTGTAAGATTCACCCTGAGACCAAAGCTTTGATTATCAAGAGGCTGAAGACCAGATCCACTGCTGAGGAGCTCACACCTTCAGTGTGTCTCAGCGTCAAGTACAAAGAATAAAAAAAAGATTTGAAGAAACTGGAGATGTTTTTGAAAAGCCCAGGTCTGTCAGACCGTGAAAGACAACTGTTCAGGAGGACTCCAGGACTGACCAGTCCAGTCACCAGACGTGAACATCATTGAGCATGTCTGGGGTAGAATGAAAGAAGAAGCAAAGAAGATGAAATCAAAGAATCTTGATGACCTCTGGGAGGTGTGTAAGACCACTTCCTCTGCTACTCCTGATGACTTCATCAATAAATTGTATGAATCATTGTCGAACCACATGGATGCGTCCTTCAAGCTCATGGAGTCATACAAGATATTAAACATGGATCTCACTACTTCATTCACTGATGTTATACAACATGTTTTTGTATTTGAAGTAAATTATTTGTTCAGTTTTCACATTATTTTCTGTAGGCGACAAAACTTTTGTCTTGCCAAAATCTGACCTTTCTGTGTTTATTAAATGATCAATCTTTCTTCAGTGAAGCACATTTATTTTAGTGTATTAAACATAATTTGGGAGGGTTTTAGCTTTTATATGAGACATTTCTAAAACCAGTGGATTCATTAAAAGTCAGGTCATAAGATGTTGTTTCTACAAAATGGAAAAGTGACAAGACTTTTGTCAGGGACTGTAAACGTGGCAAATCAGAAAGTAAACAAATGAAGTCCTTATCGCCTGTGAACGCTGTACGGTTTGTGGTAAAGGTTGAAGTTGTTTGGGTTGAGTTTGTAGCACATTTAAACTATGTATTTTGGGAAAATAATCAAAATTGGGCCAAAAATATTGACAAAAATTATCGGCCGCTGTATTCTCAATCATCGATATCGACATCGGCCACGAAAAGAAAAAGATATTGGTTGATCTCTAATACAAATAGAGCCTTGAGTTTGTTGCGAAAACAGTCTGAGTTTGAGTTTACAGGCTTAAAAACGTCACAGAAGTTTTATCTATGACGCGACAAAACTGGCAAAATGCAAACGGAGCATTTTTGAGGCTCGGAGAAGACGATTTTGGACTAACGGATTAACGAAACAGGCGTAAACAAAGCGAAAAAATCCAACTCCAGGTCTGTTTTTTGATGACAGGACATTAAAAAAAATGTTATAACTACGAAACTTTCTCGACAACATGATTCAGAGTTTTAAAAAAGTTCATTTCGCGTTTCCTTTTAAGTCGCCCCGGAGCCTAATGAGTCCCAGCAGATGTTACAGACTTGTGACTTGGATTTACACCGAATAAAAATACTCCAGAGTTAAACTGTTAGAGTGTCTAGTGTCTGTTAAAGAGCTGAAGGGAAGCAGGAGCACACGGGTCAGACCAAGACCAGACCGAGAACGAGGGAGGGAGGGAGGGAGGAACGAGGGAGGAGAGAAAGAGGAGAGGAGATATAGAACAGGGAGAAGGAGGGAGGGAGAGAAAGAGAGAGAAAAGAGAGGAGAGAAAGCAGAAAGGAGATACAGAACAGGGATAAGGAGGGAGGGAGCGAGAGAGAGAGAGAGGAGAGAGGGAGACAGATGGAGGAGAGAAAGAGGAGAGGAGATATAGAACGGGGAGAAGGAGGGAGGGAGAGAGCAAGAGAGAGAGGAGAGAAAGAGGAGAGGAGATATAGAGAAGGGAGGAGGAGGACGGAGGAGAGGGTGGAGAGGGAGAGAGAGAGAGAAAGAGAGGAGAGAGAGGAGAGAAAGCAGAAAGGAGGTATAAAACAGAGATAAGGAGGGAGGGAGCAAGAGAGAGAGGAGAGAAAGAGAGGAGAGAGGGAGACAGACGGAGGAGAGAAAGAGGAGAGGAGATATAGAAGGGGAGAAGGAGGGAGGGAGCGAGAGAGAGGAGAGAAATAGGAGAGGAGAAGGAGGAAGGGAGAGAAAGAAAGAGAAGGGAGAGAGGAGAGAAAGCAGAAAGCAGAGAACAGGGAAAAGGAGGGAGGGAGCAAGAGAGACAGGAGAGAAAGAGAGGAGAGAGGGAGACAGATGGAGGAGAGAAAGAGGAGAGGAGATATAGAACAGGGAGAAGGAGGGAGGGAGCAAGAGAGGAGAGGAGAGAAAGAGGAGAGGAGATATAGAGAAGGGAGGAGGAAGAGGAGGGACGGGGAGAGGGTGGAGAGGGAGAGAGAGAGAAAGAGAGAGAGGAGAGGAGAGAAAGCAGAAAGGAGATATAGAACAGGAATAAGGAGGGAGGGAGCGAGAAAGAGAGGAGAGAGGGAGAGAAAGAGGAGATATAGAGAGAGGGAGGGAGAGGGAGGAAAGAAAGCAGAAAGGAGGTATAAAACAGGGAGAAGGAGGGAGAGAGAGAGAGGAGGGAGTCAGACGGGGGAGAGAAAGCAGTGAAAGAGAGAGAAAGGAGGAGGGAGAGAAAGAGAAGAGGGAGAGGAGATAGTGAGCAAGGAGAAAGGAGGGAGGAGAATGAGAGGAGAGAGGGTTGAGAGAGAGAGAGGGAGAGGAAACGGAAAGGAAGGAGGGGGTAGACATGGGAGAGAAAGAGGGAGACGGAGAGAAACCAGGGGAGAAAGAGGAGGGAGAGAGAGAGAGAGGAGAAAGGGAGATAGGAGGAAGAGATGAAGGAGACATGAGCGAGGAGAGAGAGAGAGATAGAGAGAGACAAGAGACATGGGCAGGGAGGAGGAGGGATCGAGAGAGAGAGAGAGAGAGAGAGGGAGGAGGGAGTCAGACGGAGGAGAGAACGCAGAGAGGAGATACGAAGCAGGGAGAAGGAGAGAGGGAGAGAGAGAGTTGGGAGAGAGGAGAGAAAGCAGATATAAAGCAGAAAGGAGGGAGGGAGGAGGGAGAGGAGATAGTGTGCAGGGAGGAAGGAGAGAGAGAAAGAGGAGAGAGGGAGGAGGGAATCAGACGGGCGAGAGAAAGCAGAGAGGAGATATAGAACAAAAAGGGGGAGGAGAGGAGAGAGAGAGAGAGAGAGAGATGGAAGGGGCTGAAGAGAGAGGGAGGAAAGAGGGAGGAGAGAAACAGACGGGGAAGAGAAAGCAGAGAGGAGATATAGAACAAGTAGGGGGAGGAAGAGAGAGAGAGAGAGAGAAAGAGAG